GAGCAACAATATGGATACACCAAAAGATATTTGTATCAAAGCCAATGGCTTCCTACAGTTTTTTTCATAAGCCAGAGTAAATTGATGAAGTTTATTCTCACTTATACACAATGGGGACAAGATAGAGGCCAATATATCTTTAAGCTCTTGGTGATTGATATATTAATTTAAGTTCAGTAGTCTCTTTTTATTTTTAAAGTTATTATTGTTGATTTTAACAGTATTATTATTTCAGTAATCTCATAATGGGCTAGCGGTGTTCACACCTGCATGTGACGAGCTGGAGGTTGCTCAGAGGCTTGCTGGTTGGGGAGATTGCGTCGGTTTGTCGGGGACTCGGCTGCCTATGAGGATGGGTATCACGACGTATTATGTTGGGTTACGTAAGGTTATTAACTGTCCTTACGTGAAATGTTTATATGTTCATAAAGTAGCGGATTCCGTTGTTTATCTTGAACCAGTCGCAACATTACTTCCCAGTTATTGTATTCCAATTTTTCGGCCTCGAGCAACTTAAACTGAGGCGGACGGGAAACAACGGGGCACTATTGGGAGGAGCTTTTTAATGGACGCTATCATGTTACTCAAATTGAGGAACACAAAACTGCATTATGTACTTAGTCTATTGATATAAATTTTGAGCTGCTTGATCAAATGGAATCGTGTTCAGTCATTCCCTTTTTGTCATCTACAACTATTTTCTAGAGGTGTAGGATGGTTACCATGTCCATGGGGAGCTATTGCTTGGAGCTATTTTTGATGTATATTTTTCTGGAAAATGTGTTGGCTGAATGAAGGGTGATGTTCCTGATTGCCACAAGCGTTTGGAGGCTGATATTTATTTAATTTTTGTAATTTCGTATATATTTTATAATTTAATTTACATATTTTCAAGTAGCAAATGGTACAAGACGTCGATGTATGTGACCAACAACAAGATTGTATTGGAGAGCGAAATTGAAGAGCTTGATATCACTAATATGACGAGTGAGAAAGATGATGTTGGGAATAAATAATTAGTTCAATTTTTTGAGAGCGAAATTGTTGCTTTTTTAAAATTTTAAATAAATAATTAGTTGTGTAGTTTTTCTGTTTATTTTTAATTCAATAAGTCTGACATTTGGTTAGTCTATTTATATTTGCAAGTGAATTATTATTTATTTTTATATTTTTTAGAATCAATTCATATGTTCGCTTAGACATTACAAATTACTTATTTAAAACATCACATTTTGGGATTTTGCAAAAATTAGGTACATGGTTGCGGCATGGATTTCTTAGGATTTTATTATATTTATTTTTATAGTCTCTTGAATATTGCTAATAATTTTATTCCATGTCATTTTTATTGCTTGCGGATGTTTATTATATTATGCGTGTAATAAAATTTTTATTTAGTTCATTTATTATTTCATTTTGTACTTAGATACGGTTTTTTTTGCTGTTTGTTTTATTTGTGCCCATCTCCGAAATCGTATATGTAATTACATTATAATTATGAAGAGACGATATTATATTACATTGTAATTATGAAGAGACGATATTAGATTAGAATTTAGAAACAATGTAATTATGAAAATCGATTTATATTAAAGATTGAGATAAATATTTGAAAAGTATTAATATAACAACCTTCCCAATATATTCATTTGCCAATGTTATCAAAACCGATTTATATTAATTAAAGATTAAGTTTAACTTATATTTAATACTTTTTAATTTCGTATTGATTAAATGTAAAATAATAAAATAACTATTTAAAATTGCTTAAAGATAACTATGCACGGGATTTGTTTAAAGATAACTATGTTGGGATTTTTTCGTGATACTCTAGATTGAGATAACTATATTGTGATTGAGATAACTAATTTACGTGTAAAAATTGTTAGGAATAAACAATAAGATTTCTACAAAAGAGATCTCATCTCACTAAAATAACTACATAGATTAATTTAGTAAAAATATCTTTATGTTCAACTTTCATGTAAAAAGATTAACGATTTATGTTCACCTCATCAAAACGATATGATGCACAATTTTATAGATTCGTTTATGGTAAATTATTCTTTTAATTTAGATCAATAATAATTCAAATATATTATTTTCCGTAATTCCATAATTGCGTGTTGTTTAATATTGCAATTGCGAGGTGAATTAATAAATCATTGGTAAATCAAATATCTTAAAGATTGATATAAATATTTGAAAACAATTAACATAACAACCTTCCTAATATATTCATTTGCCAATATATATCAAAACTGATTTATATTAATTAAAGATTAAGTTTAACTTATATTTAATATTTTGTAATTTCGTATTGAATAAATGTAAAATAATAAAATAATTATTTAAAATTGCTTAAAGATAACGGGATTTGTTTAAAGATAACTACGTTGGGATTTTTTCGTGATACTCTAAATTGAGATAACTATGCTGTGACTTTTTAAATTTTTAAAGATAACATTCTTTAAATTTTTAAAGGTAACTATGTTGTTGAAGATATTAGTCTGTAATGACGATGACTTGCCACCAAATTAGATCCAAAACGTTGTGTACAATTATGAAGTTTTAAATTTATTTTTCTTTTTCATTTTACATTTGTTACATATCTACAAAGTGTATTAAATTTAATGTTAATATTAACAAAATTCAAAAAAATATACCATCTCGTGCGTCGCACGGGTCAGTACTAGTAAACATAAAAGAAAAGGAAAAAAAGTGGGCACGCCTTGCAGTGAGGTGGGCCATCCATGCTCACACCCTTCACTGATTTGCCTCACACGCGCTGCACAATGAATAAGCAGAGACAGTACGTGAGTGTCAATTCTCTCATCAAATATTTTTCTTTTTTTCTTTCCAAATTAATTTATTGCAGGTTTTGTAGAGGTTTGAAGACGCAACGCGGGTTTTAGTTTTTAAACCTTAAACCTGTTCACTTTAATAACAAAACCTCAAGGTTTACAATTTTAAACCTTTCCAAATGTTGTTGTTAAAGATGCTCTTATTAAGTCAATTTTCCCAAAATTTTCATCAAATTCACAAAGAAGAAACCCTAGTCTCCGAAATTTCCAAAAATAGGCATCATTTCAGAAGGCGTGTTCTTCCATCTTTTGGTGAAGATTATCATGGACATATATACAAACCTGCTCACATCATGATTGAAAGGCAACTCACATTCTTGTTTATTTTATTCTTATTTTGCTAGGGTTTTTAATCTTTAGCAATTTCGTATTTTTTTAGCGTTATATCAATCATGAGGGAAGGCATATCACTATTGATGGTTGTGGAGTATTTTGGGGATTCTATTACTAGAGTACTTGGCTTGTATCAAGATAAGTTTGGTTATTTTGACTTGGAAGAAGAAATAAAGAAGTTCAGTTATGAAAAGTGGGATAAAATATGTTATAAGCCTCTAGGACGCATGAATTTAAGGAAATACAAAATGATGTTGGTATTGTGGAGATGTTGGGTGAAATGCAGGGAAGAAAAAAAGTATGTAGAATATTTGATGATGTTGAAATTGCGATGGTAAACAAGTAGAGGAATCTAGGGATAAGCTTGTTGAGATTCTATTATATAAAAGTAAAAATGATGACTATGAACCATTTGGGGAATCTTCAAGTAGCGATGGTATGTCTGAGGAAGATTTAGGAACATATGATAAGGGATCCATGAGAGAAGTCTTGGAGTCCATAAAGTCACAAGATTCTATAGATGAAAACATTTCTTATGTACCACCATCTCAGCCTCTGCTTTAAGAAAACATGACTTCTAAAATGGCCCCAACTCTAAATCAACCTAGGCAAAGTATCTACAATGGTCTTTATACAATACAAATGCGTAATTGATCAACATGTTGAAAAAATCATACAACAATGTATAGAGATGATATTTCTAAAATATGAATAATAATAATAAAAAAAAAACAATAATAATAATAATAATAATAATAATAATAATAATAATAATAATAATAATAATAATAATAATAATAATGGGTATCTAGTATGCGACAACATCGAAATCGATAACATAGGTTGAGATTGGTATTTGACATGAAGATATCTGCATTGGCTCCATAAAAACAAACTGAGTTCTGATCATGTTCAGTAGCTCTCTTGTTGAATGAAGTCGATCTCCTTGAATTTGCAATAGAAGTTGTATATATTAAATTTAAAATAAATAATTAATGAAGCATAAAATACTTTGGAACATGAAAAATGCATAGGAGAAAAACCATTAAATCCGTTGGAAGCTGCAAAATTGGCAAAAAAAACTGGACAGAGAGAGAGAGTAAACTGAAGACATAAAATTAATTAAGGTCTATTACATCCATAAAAATGGGAACTAGACAAGAATAAAAAAAATCAAAATTTAATAATATAGAATCTTTTTTTTTTTCCAACAATAAACAAGCCATAATATAAAACTCGGGAACAAAGTCATTACATCGAGCACTCAAATGAGCACAAGCACAATAGTAACCCACACAAATGGACTAACCATTAGCTACGAGAAACCTGCATTAGGTCCTCTTACAAGCCTTCAAGGCCAAGTCTAATGAAGAAATACAAGCAAACTTATCAAAGAAAAAATTACAAATGGTGAAATTTTGTGTAGCATTTTTTATATCCTCCACAATAGCAAGAACTCTCCATTGTGCTTCAGTCTTCTGATTTAAAATCTGAGCAATCTGAAATGAGTCCACTCTGCAGCAAATGGAGGAGGAACAACCAGATTCATGTAGCAACTTCAGTCCCCATCTTACAGCCCTTAGAGTAGCTTCAATACTGTCTCCAGCTCTTTCATTGCATTCTTGCCAACTGTAGAGTATTCTACCTTCAGTCACCACTACACCACCAAATGCAACAGCTTCATCAGGTAGCAGGCAAGCACTGACAGTTAGGAGAAACTGATACATTCAAATTACCCAATTGATCACCAGCGGCTCTGTGTGACCTTGTCAATATTTCCACTGAGGAATTCTCAAATTCACTTCATTCCCTCCTTGCCCCATCAACAATGTCCTTCTCAGAAACTCTCTTATTTTCAAATATCCAACTATTTCTTGTTCTCCACAACCACCAGAGTAGGTAGGTTGAAAGATTAACTCTATCCTCAATATAATTCTCTGTCCTTCCAGTGCATATGTCCACCCACCAATCCTTAAACACAATCTTAGATCTATCAAAATGCATCCAACTTAACCCACTCAGCTTCCAGCAGGTCACAGCTCTTTGACAATTGAATAGGATATGTTCTAAATCTTCTACCCCTGCCCCATAAACCTTACAGATACAATCAATTTGAATTTTTCTATGAAACAAATGAGTATTAACACTCAGAAACCCATACCAGCATCTCCAAATGAAGTTCTTGATCTTACACTTCACTGGCAGCTTCCAAGTCTTTTTCCAAATTGCTTGCATTATCCTTGGGTCTGCACTGGAGCTGGCCATTCCCTGGGACTGTCTATGTTGCTCAAGAAGTACTTTGTATACTTCTTTTACACAAAACAATCCGTTAGGGTGCCAGTGCCAGATCAACCTGTCATGAGCATCTGCATGGCTGATAGGAATTGTTAAGATAATCTCAGCTTCTTCAGGGGAAAAAGTTTGGTTCACTAGCTCCTCATCCCACTCAATTTTATTACTCTTAAACAGCTCACAAACTTTTTTTAATCTCATCCTATCACTAGCAAACTGGACAGTAGGGCAGAATCTAGATGGATGAGGTAACCAAGGAGACTCCCACACATCTATAGACTTTCCATTACCAACCACATATCTCAGCCCCAATTTTAGAGATTTTCTAGCATGAAGCCAACTCTTCCAAAGCCAAGAGTCAGAACTTCTAGCAGACACCTCAAAGATTTTCTTGTTCCAGAAATATTTACCCTTCAACAACCTACTCATTAGCAAATTAGGTTTAGTAATGATCCTCCACAGTTGTTTAGTCAGTAGAGTTTCATTAAAAACCTTAAAGTTCCTAAACCCCATACCACCAAACTCTTTAGACCTAGACAAAACATCCCACCCACACCAATGAATTTTTTGCTGCTTTTTCTCAGATGTACCAGAGCCCCACCAAAATTTAGCAATTTCCCTGCAAATATTGTGACAAACAGATACAGGGAGCCTAAAACAAGACATCACATATGTTGGCAAGGCTTCTAACACAGATTTAATAAGGGTTTCTCTCCTAGCCTCACTCAAAAAATAATTTTTCCAATTATTCACTCTGCTCACAACATAATCTGTAACAAATTTGAATGTTTCCTTTTTAGATCTACCAATACCTAGGGGGAGACTCAAGTATTTGGAAGATTTAACTCTAGAGATCACATTCAACACATAGCAGATATCAGATTGAAGCTCTTCAGAAGCATTTTTGGAAAAAAAGACAGAAGATTTATCCAAATTGACCAACTGACCAGAAGCATCCCCATACTTTCTAAGGATATCAAGAATAAGATTAGCATGATATCAAAAAAAATAATATAGAATCAATGGAAGTAAAATTGCATATCACTTCATATTCAATCGTCCCAATGAATATAGGTCAACATTAAGTAAAAAGTAAGCCTGATATTTCTTTCCTTCCCTTCTTAGTTCTGGCTGTCATCAAATAATGCTTTGACTAAAAGTCCAAGCTGCAAAATGAAAATCGGTTTTCTTTTCCTAGAGGTAAATTTAATAAATAAAAAAGGGAGGAGGGATTCGAAACATTACTACCAATGTGCTCATCGTTTTTTACCGTCATATCAGATATATAAACTGCACAAATGGGTAAAGGGGCACAAACATATTATCATTAATTACACCTCTATGACAGGAAAAGTTCGCACGTTCAGTCGTTCACTACTAAACTATTACACAACAAAAAGAAAGATAATAATGTAAAAAGAATGTTAGCAACAGTATAAATTTTTCTACTAACGAAGAATCTAAGTATGCAGTCGTCGAAATTATTACGCATAATCAGCGCAATTATACAAAACTTAATTCCTTTTAATAATGAGAAATCACTGGACACAAAGATTATAATTCAGAATTGGGGATTATTAAGAAATATTTAGTGATAATGACAGTTTAATAAACATATGAGCCAAGGATGGTATCTTTGCAATGTGTCGGAAAAAAGCAATACACTACAACTTAAATATAGATATTTGTAAATAAACAATTAAGAATTAAGATAATAAAGTAAGGATAAAAAAAAGANCAAAAGGACAAAAAAATTGACTCATATCAGCTAACCCCTTAGGCATGTTACATTTCAAAAAATGACAAAAAGAAAATGATATCAATCACATTATTGGACCAATGAAGTGGCAAAACCGAATGGTAAGGGAAAAAATGAGAGCAAGATATAACGAGTACGAAAAACTACAGAAACTTACGCAAAAGCAGAATATTCGTGTTTGTAACAAAATGCAAGTAAAGCACAAGCAATGCACCTGGGCTATCAGAACTAAAACGTCTGGATTTTTACTACACAATGTAGTGGGGAAATCAGTACAATACCTTATGATTGTAAATCAATTACTGTAATTTATCTCAGTAAGAATGTAGAACTTAATTATTTTTGTTTGATATGGCAAGTTTATTTAATTCAATAATTGGCTTTTGGACCCAAAATGAATATTTATTAAAGGGCAGGAAGTTAATTCTCAATTCGGGGTTTGTGCTTAGAACAGTTTTCGCCTGTTGAAGTTGTTTATCTTTTAATTTAAGTAAGCATACTTCAGTTTTGCTCTTTTCATAAACACTTAATTCTATTGATTTTCACCATTTAATGGACCCTCTAGAGCCACATACTGGCTTCAACCTGATGATACTTAAGACTTCCCTAAGGCTATCAAAATTTGTATAAAGAGATTAAAAAAGAGACCTATACAAAACTCCTTCCAGCAATCAATAACAAGGAATCTGTTTTCTGTTCAGATATATATTGTTTATATGTCGATGCCTCTGCACATTTGGTAGTTTGTTGAGCTCAAACATCAAGTTTCACCTCATTCTTCAAATCTAATTCTGCAGAGCCTCATTCTTCTTTTGTTAGACATGTGTCGAACCTATTTCATCATAGAAAAACACGATCCTATCTGATCAATATTTTGGTAAGTTACGGAATGCAGCAAGAAGTCCGGGTTCCGATATTCCTTTCTATTCCGCACCTCAGAATTGAAGCTTCTTCCACTAGTCTTCTTCAGCGCAACAACCCTGCTTATCTTCGCCTAAAACAACAAACGCAACGGATAAACCCAAATGTGAGACCGAAAAGCTAATCAAGAATTTTTTTCATATCAAGATAACACATTCGATTTCTGCACCAGTAAAAATGATGAAAAAATTGCAATCAATAAACTGAACGATTAAATCAATAGGATCAATCCCGAGTTTCTTATATTTCTGGGCATCTAATTGTGTATGATATAAAAGTAAACTTGTCATTAAATACTCGATCATAAACAAACACTTCGCAAAAGGCTCCACGTCAGCTCAAGTGAAATACAACAGTGTTTTTTGTTTAGGAAGGGAGTATTCATTAACTTGCAAATCTTGTGAGCATTTGGCTTTTGGAGGCGGAGGAAGAAATTTGTCCAACGGGTCGACATCTTTCCTGTCTTCAACAGAGACCATAACAGAATCAACAGTCCCTCCCGATTCTGATCCTCTTACAGCACAACTCAAAGCATCTGATTCAGACTGATTAATTGGCCCTAATTCACGGAAAATCAATACAAGCTCTGTTAAAAGACCATGTCAACAGTTTCAAAATATTCCATTGTCAAGCTTGCAATACCAATTTCTGATCAGTTATATACAAGTCATAACAAATGATAATTCCAATGAACTTGACGTGAGCGATACTCTGTTCTTTTTTCTGAATCATTCCCAAAGAAAAATAAAAACATATTTTTGTGAGGAGCTCAATACACGAACTATTGGAAAACGATGTGTGCAAAAAATAGAAAAATGGACTTCCATGGTGTATGTGATAACAAAAATGAACATTAACGACAAAACCAGATGATGTAATGCATTCACCAATACATTTTCTGTTATAATTTGAACAATCTTTATTTCAAAATGTCTTCTTTTGTGAAGAAATTCCAGCATCCTATCATACCACCATGCTTATGATACTCAATTTCTCAACCAAACTATTCAAGGAGATCAAACAGAATACATAAGCTATATATAATACTGATTAAATATCAAAAGCCTAATCAAATTCCTTACCATCGTCAGCTTCTTGTGGCCGCTGCATATTTCCATGGCCGAAATCACCAGCAATAACATCGTTATCTTTCACGGAGACGCCATCTGATGGCGGATGGGGAATAACATCCTCTTCGCGAGGATTTTCTATCTCTAAATCGAGGTCGTCCATGTCATCGTCTTCGTCCCCGTATATCGACATCGACAGCAAAGCTATGCCCTCCGATGCTTTCTTATTCTCCGACGACATTCCAGCAACTGAAACCCTAATTCCAAGGGTTTGTTTTCTCCGGGCACTTTGGAATTTTGAATGGTCTTGAATTTGAAAACGAGAAAGCTCGGGTTTTTGCGTATGGGAAGAGGGGTACTGTAGGCTGTTTCTCTACAATTCGCCTGTCTGCGATTCTTCGCAGTTAAAATAGGAGTCGGGCGATCAATTCTAAAGCGAGATCCTGATAAACAAAGTCGCTTTTGTAATTTGATTTCATGCAAAAGCACAACTAGAATTGTTACCCACGGAAATATCTTTGTAAGATAAGCGTAATATTAAAAAATATTATATCAAAGAAATTAATATGATTGTACAGATAAGATTAAGATAATATATCAAAAAATAAATAAAAATATGATGTATAGCACGAATTTAAAGCAATATTTATTTATATTAATTTGATATCAACTGGAGTTCGTTTGTGTGCTCATCTGAAATAATTTTAGCCCAAAGCCGTTGTTATCTATCTATAAGCCATTTTGGTTCCTTATAGTGTACGTTTTAGTTGGGTGGCTCGCTGTTGGATTTGTCTCATCAAGACGGTCGTAACCACAAATTTGTAGTTTAATTAGATTTCATTTCGTACAAAATAAGTTCGTTCTATTTTTAGCTTTATTATGGTGTCATCGCACATCAATTTCAAGTATGTGATCTAGAGTTGAAATTCTTTTCGTCGAAATGGTCTTATAGTCAAAATTTCAGACAAAATGGAGTTCGTTTGCTTAGTCAATTGCCTGTTCAAAATTATATGTACAAACGACATTTTCGGCTCGTGATTAGCCCGCGCCGAGCCCGTGAAAATCTGGCCTTTACCCTGCCACTAATGATTAGTGTACCTATTTTGATAAACTTTATAAATTAATGTACTAAGTTTGATGTCTGCCAAAAGGGTGAACCTTTGCTGAAAAATAACCAATATAATAGACTAAAAATTAAATTTTTTCATTGTTGTTGTTGTTGTTGTTGTTGTTGTTGTTGTTGTTGTTGTTGTTGTGAAGAAGAAGAAGAAGATGATGATGATGATTAATTTATTATTATTATTATTTTTTTTTTATTATTATTATATTAATTTAATATTATTATTATTATACTAATTTAATATTTTTTCAAATTAATTTGTCATGATTCCTTAAAATTATAAAAAATATGTTATCTAAATTTTTTTTCAATCAATATAGTCATCCATATATACGTAGATGATAATATGTAATAATAATAAATTGTTGTTGTTATTATTATTATTATATTAATTTAATATTTTTTTAAATTAATTTGTCCATGATTCCTTAAAATTATAAAAAATATGTTATCTAATTTTTTTTTTCAATCAATATAGTCATCCATATATACGTAAATAATTTATATTTATATTATTTTGTTTCAAGTAATGATAAAATTAAAAAATATGATATGTCCAATATCTAATTTATAATTTTAATATATATTCACACTTTCTAACCGCGAGCCGTTGAACCACTAGTGAGCTGTGTGAACCGTTTTGGTGCCGAACCTTAAATTAGCTTCGTGAACCTTTTTTCGAGTCTTTCCCGAAAGTTTCAAGTTCCATTAAGTTTAAGATTGTACTTAGTCAATAAAGTTATTGATTAAGTTAAATTCTGAGTTTAAGGGCAAGTTATTTATAAAAGTATTTTTTCTCTAAAATTGTAGATCGAGAAGTTGAGACCTCGAGCGACGTGTGCATAATCTACATTTTCAACATCATCCAGACCAGGTGGGTGTTGCTAAACTCTATGCTTTTATGCTTTATAATCGCATGCGTCCATAATTGAAATATATATATATATATATATATATATATATATATGACTGTGTGCTACGTGATAAAATTGACTGTGTGAAATGGACTGTTTGAGATAGACTATGTGAAGTTTGACTGTGTGACGAAAGTACTGAGGGGTGCAATGCCATGGCTATGTGATGAGGCATTGACTGTGGCACCTCCGGTTCGAAATCACTGAGAGCTGCAATGCTATGAGAAGCATTGACTGTGTGGCACCTCCGGTGTGATCTCCCGTCGTTGAGCGCCTAGGGACTATCTGATGGCGGGCCGACGGTAAAAATGTGTACACATGAGACGAGTTGATGAGAAGAGCCATCGAACAGTTGTTATCCATGTGATAAATCTGTGCAGTTATATGTGATAAAGTTGTACAGTTATGAGCTATGTGATAAATCTGTACAGTTATGAGTTGTGTGTTAAATCTGTACAGTTATGATTTATGTGATAAATCTGTACAGTTGTGATCTATTTGGTAAATCTTTGTGATGGATCTGTGTTCATTGCATATCAAAGTTATGTCAACCGATTATTATAATGAATATATTGCATATTTCTCACGGTGGACTTGTGTTTGCTCACCCCCATACATTAACATTTTTTAGGTTAAGTAGCTGGCAGAGGTCACGAGGAGATGAGGGTGGTTGTTATTGCATTTAGCAAATGTTTACTTCCGCTTTAAGTTATTCTATTCTTGTATTTTTGAAAATATTAGTAAAATGATGGACTTGTGGATAGATTATCAATTGTTTGTACAATTATTGGTGGAAAAGAGTTCTTTTTTATTTCTGAGTCTTAGAAAGAAAGAAATTTTGAGTAGCGTCCAAAAGAATTTTAACTTGAAAATGTTTTTTAAAAAATTTAACTTGAATTTTTTAAAATCGGATATTTTCTTTTCAAAATAAACGGGGGTTACACATATCTTACCGTTATAATATATAAATATATATATATAGACATTTTTGGTGACCGTCTCACTCTAGATTGGCCGTTGGCGGTTCAAAAATTAATGCCACGTTTTTTTTATATATTAGTTAATTTTACTAATTTTTGTAATTTTGTGTTTTTCATTCATCCACGTCAATTATTAATTATTAATTCAAAGTTCAACTTATCACTATTAACTTAATAATTTATCATACACACTACCTTGACTTTCAACTAAAATGATGTTTTCTTTGTCCATTTTGACAAAATTGTTTTAATCATGAGTGCTCGTAATCAAATCAGATGATAATGACTGTAAGTTAATAATAATGTAAATCTAAAGCAATTATTGTAATTTTAATAGTAATGTAAACCAAAAGTTGAGAAATTTTCTGACTTCCCACGGTGAATATATAAACATTTTCATATGAAAAGTCATACCACGCCTAACTTGAGCTTTGAACTTCGGGCAATACCCGTTTTTCTTACTACGCATATAATTAGGTCCATCTATGTAAATATGTGGTCTACAATCCTGATCAACAGAAAAGGTATAAATATATATAGAACTCTTCAATCCACACCAAATATTTTTTTGTTTTTCTCGCAAATTCATAGATTTCAATTTTTATGAACACGTAATTACAATAAGACTAATTGGCCGAAAGATGGATCTATACTAAAGGTAGCTTAAACCACAACACACTACAAAAACGCAAAAAAAAAATTAAACTCTAATAATGTAGAATACACACTCCCGACTTGTATAAATGCTTATTATGAAAACTAAATTTTTACAATAAACAATACTTTATTTAAATTTTTATTAATACAATTAAATTTAAACTTCATATATGCTTAATCTATCTATTATAATAAAAAGAGGGAACCTAAATAATACATAAATAGTAACTAAAATATAATTCGTATTCCCGCTAAAAAATATACTAGATATAGTAACTTTTTTTTTGAAATTTTTCATTTGCCGGTTTAAGTGGATCCTTTGATTTTTTAAAAAATTTTCATTTCATGTGCCGGTTTAATTTTCCTATTTAAGTGGATGTTTTGATTTGAAAATTTTTTAGCTAATTTGATTGCTAAACTTGATATTCATCTTCCCGATTTTCATGAAGCCGATTTTGTGGACACTCCACATGATAGACATTAAGATTTTTTTAAATTTCTTTTGAAATTTTTCATTTGCCAGTTTAAGTGGTTTCTTTGATTTTTTTTAAAAATTTTCATTTCATGTGGCGTGATAAAATACATAAAATAATGATTGAATGTACCTAAAATTCTCATGAAAGTGGATGCTTTGATTTGCCGGTTCAAATTTTCCTATTTAAGTGGATGTTTTGATTTGAATTTTTTTCCTAAAATGAAAAATCTCTTTTTGTTTTGGTTGTTAATGAGATAGATATATACTCCTTGTCTAATGGAATGTGAAAATATGGATTTTTACTCCTTATCAAAATGTTTGAATCGTTATTTAATATGATATTTATTAAATAACATACCCTTTTAAGTTTTATTGAATTTTATTCAAATTCGTATATTTATTAAAACAGTACTCTTTTAAGTAAAAAAAATTACGTGCATAATTTTTTTTAATTCAAATTAAATTTGACGTCACGATTTCATTTTTATTATTCATAAATAACGATGTAGTCGGACGACTAAATCATATATATTTATTTCATCACATTTGTATAAAAATCTAATTTCATTGTGTTATATAATAAAATATTGTGATATATGAAATGAGTGTGCTATTTATTTTATTTTATGTAGGTAAAGTGACTCAAGAATAACATAGAACAATTGAGTTGCTTTTTGACATGTTTTTCAAGAATAATTTAGGAAAAATTTGGTGAATCTTCACACATAATATAGAACATTTTAGGTACTTTTAGACATGATATATAACATTTTAGGTACTTTTAGTGTTTTAGATAGGCATGTTTTATATGTTTTTAGTCAAAATAATTTCAATTAGCTTCAATTAATTAATAATGGTTAGCATTTGTTAATTTCCAATAAATTCATAACGTACTTTAAACCATAGTCTTCAAACCCGGCCCGGGAATCGACCTGGACAGGTCTTCGGGTCACCGGGTCAATTCCTGAACCGGATAATTAATATTAAAAATTTTAATATTATATATAGAGTATTTTGTCATATAAATATACATAAAAATAACAAAATGAAATATTTTGTATATAAAATTTGTACATTAAAATGTTAATAATATGTATCTCATGATAAACATTTACTATATAAATATATATACATAGTTTTATTTTTGAAAAACAAAAAATCTTTTAAAAAAAATAAAAAAAAATAAAAAATTATATATAGGAGCCGGGTCAACCGGGTTGACTCTACCGGGTCAATGCCCCGAGTCGACAGGATCAAGGCCGGGTTGGCCGAGTTTTGACCGGGTCCTTTGTTGCCCGGTCTAAATAGCCCACCCGGACCAGTTCC